ATTGACTTCAGCAAAGCTTTTGATAAGGTGCCCATTATATTCTGATTAGCACGCTAATGAGGTGTGGGCTGGATAGAACAACTGTCAGGTGGATATGGAGGCAGAGCTTGGATCTAATAGCAAGAGGCAGAAAATATCATCCCATGATCTGACCTGTAAAATATTCCCAGAACAGAAAGCATGTAAATAACTCCTGGAAAGTTGGACTGAGTAAGTGTGACTATCTTTTTTATTATACTAGAGGAGGTGAGGAGAGAAAGAAAAAGAACTTTAGAAAACTGCCCATCTGGAAGATAAGATGGGGTTGAAAATGAAAGAAACTTGAGAGCAGCTTGGGCTTGAAAGGTAGCCAAGCTGAGCTGCTGTCTGAAGAATTGTAGAGTCCTCCCTCATAAACATATCAATAGAAAGTTGGGGAAAAGGTGGATCAAATATAGAAATGAAAAGACTTCATTATCTAGCTTGAGTTAAATGATTTAAATGTCCTCAATCCTCATTATCTAGAAACAATGTTACCAGGAGTTAGGAAAAACAAAGTTGTGAATTAAATGGGCTCAAAACTGAATTAGTTTATTAAGTTTATAAAGCAGATAAGAATTGATAAGAACAGTGCAGAAGGGACAGAGGTTTACCCTTGACCTTGTCTTCTTCAATTGCTCATACTGGAATAGACACTTGATTTGAGACTTTATGTTCTGCTGGACATTCTGGAAGTATAATATGTATGATATTGAACTCCATCTAGTAGCTGGTTGTTCAAACTACATCAAAATTTAAAATACAAGAAGTTACATGCCTTGAAAGAAGTCTAAAGTGTTGGAGAACAGAGGAAGGGAACTCACAAGAGTGATCAAGTGATAAAAACATTGCACACTTGCAAAAAAAAGAAATGGCAGGAAAAACCAAGAAGAAAATCTTAAAACAATACTGATGCAGACGCAGAAAACATTGCTGGGTGCTATGAGAGAATTACAGGATAGGCATAAAGTGGAAGAAACTGTAATGAATCATCGAGAACTAAAAAAAATGAAAGATGAGATTAGAAAGCAGATAAAAGTAGACACTAACAATGTAGTGCAAGATCAAGTACAGATGAATACTAAGAGACTTTTTGAACAAGAAAAAAAGCTAAAGAATTGCAGATTCATGCTTATTGAAGGTTTTTGGGCTGTTTGGCTGTGTTCTGGAGGTTTTTCTTCCTAACGTTTCACCAGTCTCTGTGGCCAGCATCTTCAGAGGACAGGAGTTTGAGCTCCGTCTGTGTTCTGGTGTAGTGTGTGCGATGGTTGAGTATTTGTAACTGTGGGATCAGCTTTTTGTCCTTTTCAGGAGGTTGGGTGATTCTGGTGTGGCGATCACCCTGCTTTGGCTCATGTAGCAGGTTATTTGCATATACCAATGAGAGCTGTTCAAAGGCGGAGCCAGGGAAACCAGAAGGGTTTATACTCAGCTGGGACCTCAATCTTTCTAATTAAAAGGTGTTGACAGAGGTTAACTGGTGGCAGCGGAAAGGAGAGAACATGTCATGAGCCTCAGGCTACTGAAACAACCTATGGTGCACGTCACATATGGTGATCAGGGTGTTTTTGTTATGAGTATGATAAGGGGGGAGATGATCTGTCACCTGTGATGGGTGTTTAGTTAGTCTTTTGTGTGCAGTGATCACTGATCCTTGTGGCTGGGTAGAGTTCGTTGACCTTTTTGCTGGCTGTATTTTTCAGAATTAAAGATAAATTTGAGAATAAACTTTAAAATAGTATAGATATTTAGGGATAAATCTTACTTGGAATTTTCAAAATATTCTAAAAATGAATTTTGACAAAGTGAAAAAGTCATGTTAAACCTTTGAAGTTAATTGGTTTATAGCCACTGAGTGTCAAAATTAGGAGGTTTTAGAGATGTAAGGAAAGATGGATGATGGGATGTGTTTAGAGTTCCGTATCAGTATCCATGGGATTGGTATCAGCTTCAAATGGATTGAGTTGGAATGCTTACAGAATGTAGCAAGGAAAATCGGTTTGTCTTTTTAAAACCAGAAGAAGGAAGGGGAATAGCCCACCTTAGAAGCTACAATGATTAGTGTTTCTTATTTTAATAAGATATAGCAGCACTGTGGGCTAAACCGCAACCGAGTGAGCTCCTGTCGCTTTGTCCCAGCTCCTCCTAGCAGTTCGAAAGCATGCACATGCGAGAAGATAAATAGGTACCACCTCGGTGGGAAGGTAAAACTGTGTTCCCTCGTCACGCTGGCCACGTGGCAACAGAAACTGTCTTCAGACAAGCGCTGGCTTTACGGCTTGAAAACGGGATGAGGACCGCCCCCTAGAGTCGGAAACAACTGGACTAAAAATGGCAAGGGGAACCTTTACTTTTACCTTTAGCAGCTTTATTTAACCATTGTAATCTTTTGTATATGTTCATGCTGATGCTTTTGCAAACAACTGTTTTTCTATGAATTTTGGAATCATTGAAGATCACAAGCTGAATATGAAGATGAAGTGTGATGTGGCTACAAAAAAGGCAAATGCTTTTTCAACCTGCATTAATAGAAGTATAGTCTCCAAATCCTGTAAAGTACTAGTTCCCCTCTATTTAGCACTGGTTAACCCTCATCTTGAGTACTATGTCCACTTCAAGATGGATACTTGGAACAAATTGGAACACATTCAGAGCAGGGTAACAAGAAAGATCAGGGGCCTGAAAACTAAGCTTTTGAGGAAATACGGAAAGAGCTGGGCCAGTTTAGCCTTGAGAAAAGAAGACAGAGGGGAGATATGATAACACTTTTCAAATACTTGAAAGGCCGTCATACAGAGAAGGGGCAGAATCTGTTCTCAATCATCCCAGAGCGCAAGATAGTGGGCTCAAGTTAGAGCAATACAGCAAAGGGACCTTGGGAGGTGGTGAGTGTCCCAACATTTGAGACATTCAAGAGATATTTAGACACCTACCTGGCAGATATCCTTTGATTTGTACTCTTGCATTGAGCAGGAGATTCGACTCAATGGCCTTATAGGCCCTTTCCAGTTTTATGATTCTACGTTTCTTTTGTTTCTCGCTTCAACTACATTAATCCAGATGCTTTCAGGGGGACAGCCAATCTTCTCCTGTATTTCTCTGTAGGAATGTGTATTTTTGATATATACTGCAACTCCACCTCCCTTTCTATTCTTTCTGTTCTTTCTAAACAATTTATATCCTTTAATTGCTGTATTCCAGTCATGGGAGTCATCCCACCATATTTTTGTTTTCTATCAAATCATATCTAGCCTCCTGAATGAAGATTTCCAGTTCTCCTTCTTTGTTTCCCATGCTCCTTGCATTCATATATGCACACTGGAGATGGTGTGATTTGTGGCCAACTTTTCTTTGCATATTTTAATTAATATGATTATTAGTATTAATGTTATTATTGACCAACATTAGAACTGTTTGTTCCATTCCTCTTATTGCACGTAAGGCTTCATCTATCTTTACCTCTTTGCTTGTGTCTCCCTCCCCCTTCGAATTTAGTTTGAAGTTCTTCTGAGGAAGTTCTTCATGCTTCATTCTTCCCAGTCCTTGTGAGGCACAAGCAATCTTTTGCTAGCTCTTTTTTCCTTGCAGGGTAAAACAGTGAGCTGCAGTGATCCTGCCAAGTAAGAAGCAGAGGGCAAGGGAGCAAAAGACAACCTTGCTCTGTGTTGAGGGCACTCGCAGACATAACATCCCAGCTGATGTGATGTGTGGGGAGTTCTCATTGCACATGACTGTACAAAAAAAATCAATATAAAAAAGGAGGAAAAAGAACAGATTCAGTGATCCATGTGATTTAGCCCTCAGTTATGCTAGAAGGTCCATGTGGAAGCAACCTGAAGGGATGTGCATAGGGTAGGGGTGTGAGAGAATCGTAATTCATATTCCATGAGTCAAATATTCATTTCATGTTTCATTTGTTCACCTCTTGATTATTTTTGTTCTTCTACAGATATACTGTATTTTTCCGTGTATAAGGTGCCCCATGTATAAGATGCACTTTTCTAATCCAAAATTTCTTTCCTTGCAAGAAAGTGAAGGGTGAAGGCAGGGATCAAAGCGCTTTGATTCCTGCTTTTCCCTCTCCATTTTCTTGCGAGGAAAGTGCTTTCCCCCTCCACTTTCTTTGCAAAAAGCTGCTTTCCCCCTACACTTTTTGCAATGAAAGTGTGGGGGCAAAGCAGGAATCGCTTTTCCCCTACATTGTTGTTGCAAAACATAGAGGGGGAAAGCAGGGATCAAAGCTCTTTGATCCCTCCCCACCTCCTTATTTCTGTGTATAGAACAACCCTCAATTTTTCCTGTAATTATTTTAGGGAAAAGTGTAGTTTTATACACGGAAAAGTACAATAATTTCCTTTTCTTCTCTAAAATATGGAATGTTTTTGTGGAGGCAGTTGCAATAAAAAGTTCCCAGGCGTTGCATAATTCTAGGCTGTTCAGGAAAGTAAGCATGGCATGGAGTGTGTCATAGCTCCTGATACTTCCATCATTTTTTCCACTTCCTCAGATGGGAGGACATTGGACAAATTCATACTTCTTTGTTCCTCCCTCTTGTTTCATTTACAGTACAAAAATATTCAACAAACAGAACTAGTGAAGGGAAAGAGACGTTAGGTTTACTAGCCTACAGCATGGCTGAAGACTTGGCACTTCACTGTCAGCAGATTGACACAGCTACCTCCCTCTGTATCTTCAAAACTATTATTTCTGATTCTTACACCTGCATTTCCTGAGCCAATTATCCATCTCATCCTGGGTGGTGAATTTGTCAATTCGGAAAACAGTCACAGCAGGTGACAAAATACCAACATTTCTCAGTAATCACATAGTAAACTTCTGCAAATATGATTCCAGCTCCACAGCAAGTAGGGTCTAAAGGCAAGAATGACCACAAAAAAGATCTTTGACACTTTTTAAAAGGAATCCAAAGTTTCTCATTTATATCAATGTCCCTCTAATAGTCTCATTGTCTAACTCTACAGCTTATCCTGCCGGGCGAAAGGGACATCTTGGAGGTCCTGGTTCTGCTGGAGGCCAAGGTTATCCTGGGCCCCGAGGAGCAAAGGGAGTGAAAGGTAAGGCTAAACTCAGACAGGTGTTTTAACGTGATGTTTGCTACTAATTATCTTGCAAAAAAGAAATTTAATCTGATGTCAAGAATAGTTTCCACACTGAGGCAGAACAAGGCCCATGATAATCAACAGCCATACTTGACAGGTGTGCAAAATGCTGAATCATACAGTCTGGGATACTGATTGGCTGTGCATGTGTCTGTGTGGACACGGGGAGAAGATGTATGGATCTCTTCTAATGAATGTCATGCTGTCATGCTGCCGGTTTCTACTGCTGCACTTCTGTATATACCATAAATACACTTGGTGTTGGAAGAAGCTGTCTTTGTCTGTCATTCCACTGGACTACCTGGACTGAAACAAAAACTCTGCTAACTTACACCAACAAGGGGTTATGCGCCCAGAGACATTTACCTTGCGCCAGAGAAGCTGGTGCCAGAAGGTACCAGAGGCCAGAGGAACCAGTCCAGAAGTGAAAAAAGTCCAGTAAGGTGAGTGTCCTGCCATTCAGAGCCCAGGAGGGGTAAAGGACGGAGGACAGAGATAAAAACACAGCAAAATGCAGTCAGTTGGGGCAGCAGGAATGGGGGGGATTTCCTCTCACAAAGCTAAATGAATGGAACTATCTGACTTGGTCAGTTAAAGCCCAAATGCTGCTGAGAGGGGAAGATTTGTGGAAGATTGTTTCCAATCCCCCCACTATCCTGAATGAGGAACAGACAAAGCAAGACGAGAAGGCTTTAGCAACAATATTTCTGTGCTTAGAGGACAGCCAATTAATACACGTGCATGGACTGACCTCAGCTAGGCAATGTTGGCAAGCTCTGCACCGGGACTCTGCAGGCAGCAAAGTTGCTATGACACATAAAATATACAGAGCAAGGCTTGACCATGATGGAAGCATGTCAGAGCATTTACAGCAGATGAGAAATCTGTTTGTGAAGCTTGAGCAGAGGGGCATGGAGTTCTCGGAGAATCACAAAGTGTATGCGATCCTGAGCAGTCTTAGATTATGATGCGCTAGTAACAAGCCTTGAATCCATACCAGAGAGGGAGTATCTTAACCCTGGAGTATCTTATAGGCAGATTGTTGGAGGAAGAAGAAAAAAGGAATGAGAGGTCCCAAGTCAGAATGAGAGATGACATCCCACAGTAGAGGAGAGCTGCTTCCAGGAGTGACAGAGAAAAGACGGGAAAGGCTCTTGCTGTAAGACGCTGCTTCAAGTGTGGATCAGAAAAACATTTGCAAAGGGACTGCAGAGAAAAAGAAACTAGCTGGAGAAGTGGAGGCAAGAAGCAAGGGAAGATTTCTCTTGTACAGTGGTGCCCCGCTTGACGATTACCTCGTTAGATGAGGAAATCACTTTACAATGAAGTTTTTGCGATCGCTTTTGCGATCACAAAATGATGTTTTAATAAGGAAAAACCACTTTACAACAATCGGTTCCCTGCTTCGGTTAAGCTTTTCGCTTAACAACGATCAAAACAGCTGATCGTCGGGGCTTCAAAATGGCCACCCACTGTGCAAAATGGCTCCCCGCTGTGTTTTAGGACAGATTTCTCACATTACATGCACCAGAAAATGGCCACTCTATGGAGGATCTTCACTGGATGCTGAGGTATTTCGCCCATTGGAACGCATTGAACTGGTTTTCAGTGCATTTCAATGGGATTTTTACTTTCGCTTGATGACAATTTCATTCTACAGCAATTTTGCTGGAATGGATTATCCTCGTCAAGCGAGGCACCACTGTACAGGCTTCTGATAACTCCAAGGTCAACACCTGGATTCTTGACATTGGAGCTGTTTGTCATTTAAGTAATAGATCAGAGCTATTTTCTTCCCTAGGTACTTCAAAACACAGCTATGTTAGCCTGGCGAATGGGGAGAAATTGGCAGTAATAGGAGAGGGAACAATTTACGTTCCAGGTTTGCAAAGGAATTACATAGTGCTTTGCATGTGCCCAAGTTACACTGTAATAACCTAAGTGTTTCATGTTTGGACAAGGAAGGGTTTACAGTTACATTTGCTGATAGCACATGTGTAATTAAAAAAGGGAACAGGGTGTGTGCCACAGCAAAACTTGAAAATAATTTATATGTACTAAAGGGAAGAACGTGAAACAAAGTAACACATGCTATAGTCAAAAACACACCACCACATGACCAGTGTGCTCATTTGATGCAGAGGATAGTGGGTCGTGCTAATTTCAGGGTGGTAGAAAAAATGGAAAAGATGGAAAATGAAACCCTGTAAGAATTTTCTGGATTGCAATGTTTGCAAAATTGCAAAATCAAAGGTCCGAAAAATAAGCAAGGAAAGTAACAGGCTGCGGCTTGAGAATCCCATAATTCTCACTCTGAACCTACATGAGGCAGCATTAAAAAGTTCATTGATACATAGTTGAGTATTTATAGCTGTGGGAACAGCTTTTATCCTTTTCAGGAGATAGGCTGATGATGGTGATCAGCATGTTTTTGTTGTGGATGCATTGTGATAAGGGGGAGATATTATCTGTCACTGTGATTGATGGGTGTCTTTAGCTGTTCTTTTTTGTGCAATGATCCCTGGTCTTTGTGGCTAGGTAGAGTTCGTTGACCTTTTGCAGGCTGTATTTTTCAGTGCTGGGAGCCAGGACTTGTTCAGTTTTAGACTTTCCTCTTTTTTTGTTGAAGCTCTGCTGGTGTTTATGGATTTCAATGGCTTCCCTGTGCAGTCTAACATAATGGTTGCTGGTGTTGTCCAGTACTTCAGTATTTTAAAATAGAATTTCATGTCCAGCTTGTTTTAGGGCATGTTCAGCTACTGCTGATTTTTTCTGGTTGTTTTAGTCTGCAGTATCTCTCATGTTCTTTGATTCTAGTGTGAATGCTGCATTTTGTGGTTCCAATATATACGTGGCCACAACCTCAAGGTATCCGGTATATTCCTGCAGTGGTGGTGGTGGGGGCTTTTGTCCTTTGCTGACCATAACATTTGTTGTATTTTTGTGGAGGGTCTGAATACTGTTTGTAGGTTGTGTTTTTTCAAAAGTTTCCCCATGCGGTCCGTGACCCCTTTGATGTATGTCAGAAATACTTTATTTGTGGTGGCTGTTTTTCCTCTTCAGTTTGGTGTTGTTTTCTCAGTTTTATGGCTCTTTGGATTTCATTCTTGGAATAGCCATTCACCTGTAGGGCCCAGTTCAGTTGGTTGAGCTTCACAGTTCCGATTTGCCCAGTCTACCAGTGTTTTGATTATGCCTCTTTTCCGTCATGGGTGGTGGTTAGTTTTTGTGTAGGTACCGGTCAGTATGGGTGGGTTTTCTGTAGACCTTGTGTCCCAATATGAGGTCAGTTTTGCGTATGGCCATGACATCTAAGAACAGGAGTTGGCCCTTGTGACATCCACCCTCGTGCCCCTTGCTTGACCGTCAAGCCTCAGAGCCCACAAAGGCAAACAATCCCTCTTTCCACTGCTGCCACGATGTGATCACTAGATCACTATTATCTCAGAAAGATTCAGGTCCACACACCAAGGTCTTCTAAATAAACTTTGATTTATTGATTACAGAGATTGATTCATGAATGTTTTCAGTAGCTAATCACACCTCAGAATTCCCCAAACTCCACACTCTATCTTCTTCTCCCTTCTCCCATTCTTCACTCCCTGTTACTCTCTGACTCTTACTGACTGACTTTTACTCTCTGACTCCGCCTCTTATAGCATCTCTCTCGGCTCCGCCTCTCAGCAACCTGAATATGCATGAACCATTACATAATATAACATGAACCATGGACCTAATAAATGGGGAACACTACAGACCTCCCCCCTTAAATGTTTGTTTGGGAGGGGGAAAACGTTTTTCCTCTTAAACAAACAGGCACAGTTGCATAACTTACATAGCATTTAATAGTTCTATAGGTAACATCATATTCAATACAACAATTACTATTCCTATTACTCTAAACATTTTAAACAATTACTATTCCTTATACTCTAGACATTTTACTAATTTCAACAATTTACTTTACCTTATCATTTACACTTTATTATTATTTTTCATTAACATTACCAGCCATACAGAAATCACCATCAAGAACTTATACATAAATTATTAAATTGTGAATCAAAGTCCAAATCAGTTTATAATAAAAGTCCTGGTATCATTCTTCTGGTCTTCTGCACAATGCATCAAAAGGACTAAACCCAGTGCTTTCCTGAGGAATGTTCCAATAGGTGTATAGTAAGGGTTGTATTTTGCAGTCCCAATCATTCGGGTTCTCTGCTACATAAGCTTTAATCATGTGCAATAATGTGTCATTAAATTTTTTAATTAGTCCATTGGTCTTAGGATGATATGGGGTAGAATTGATTTGGGTAGTCCCACAAGCCTTCCATAATCTTTGTATCAGTTTGGAGGTGATGCTCGTTCCCTTATCACTAACTGTTTTGCACTAGCAAATCCCAATCGGCTCATGTAACTGATTAAGGCATTGGCCACTGTATCAGTTTCCATGTTACATAAAGGAATTGCCTGGGGATATCTGGTGGCAAAATCCATAACTGTCAGTATGTATTTATTTCCCCTCTTGGTGGCTTTGGGTAAAGGATCCACCAGATCAATTCCCAGCCTTTGGAATGGGGTAGAAATGACTGGCAAAGGACATAATTTTGGTTTAGTCCTGTCCTTCCCTGTCCCTCGTCTCTGACAGACATCACACGTCTTGGAAAAATAAGTAATCTGTTTACCCATACCTGGCCAAAAGAAGTTCTGGGCAACCCTTCTTTTGGTTTGAGTGATCCCCATGTGAGCCCCAAATAAACTACCCAGCAGGTGCGCTCAAAAGCAATGAGAAAAGATTTGGGACAGTCCCCTCTTTTATATTGGGGAAACTTCTTAAGATCAATTTTTGAGAGAATTCCACCTCCAACTTTGTTATTGTTAAGGTTATTTTTAGGAGCAGAATTTTCTAATTGTCTCATCTGTAATTGGAAATCCATCTCTTTTTGTCTTGGTTCTATTTCTCTTCGCCGTAATCGCAAAAACCTCATTGTACAGCGGATTCGTCGTACAACTAGGTAATCGTTAAGCGGGGCACTACTGTACAACATATATGTGATTTGTACAAATATATGCAAATATGTGATACATATATATAATTTTATATAATTTGTAGGCTGCCTTTTTACTGGTGAGGGTACCCAAAGAAAGCTCACAATATAAAAACAAGTAATACTAAAAACAATAAATTACAGGTTAAAAAGCAATTAAACAATAAGAATACAGTGGTGCCTCGCTTAACGAGCGGCCCGTACAGCGATGAATTAGCATAGCGATCCCTTTTCCGGGATTGATAATGC